TAGGCATCCTTACACCTTCATATCAGGAGGCCAGCTTGTGTAAGCACAGGTATAGTCATGTGAATTTTGGATCTGGCTGGCCTGTCATTATCAACCTTACATACACCAGAAGGATCACCTAGTCAGCTGCTGTTCAAATTTCTCATCCATAACACTACAAAATATAATAAAATAGTTTGATTACACCAGTAAGTGTATGAGTAATCTTTAAAATACAACTCTAGATAACTAGAGTAACATCTACTATTTTAAGATACAAAGTGAAAACTGCTGCCGGCCAGGAGTGATGGTTTAGCCTAGTGGTTAAGATGCATAGATCCGACAGTGGCAGTGTCTGGGATTGACTCCTGCCTCTGACTGCTGCCTTCAGTGTCTTGATAATAGAAACCTAGGGACAATGACAGTAACCAGGCTTAGTCCACGCACATGGGAACCTGAATGCTATTCCTGGCTGCCAGCGTTGGCCTGACCTTGCTCTTCCCCAAAAGGCTGTTGTTCTTATATTCCAAAGCCTGGAAGCTCTCTGCCTGTCCCTCTCACTCTCCATCTCACTCTCCATTCTTTTAAATGATCTAGTATTAGTAGAATCTGGTTTGCAGGGAGAAAGGAGCAGAAAGGAAAGAAGCAACACATTTTGGGGGTTGCACAATTCATAAGGCAAGGTATTATTATAATGATAATGGCACTTTATAAATGCTGTGGCAAAATTGAGGGGTTAATGTGCTTTAGTTGGGATTTCAAAAATAATGAATGACAGAAAATTAGTTTAGGAAGAAAGAGAGAGAAAAAAGGTACATAATTATTTCTTTCATTATGAATGCACATTCCTGACATCTCTGGGGACTAAGATTGTCCTGCAGGGAATATGATTAAAGTTACAAAAAGGAAAACAAAATAAGTAAGTCGGCTTTTGATCCTGCTGCTATATTTACCCACAAGAAAGGAGGCAGCTCTCAGGTGGGCTTTTGTCTAAGTAATGTCCTGAAATCCAAGTGTAAAAGAACAATATGAAATCTCAATTCTCCCAAATGGTTTGGGTGAGTTCAACCCTTGAGCCCCTGGGGGGCTTGGTTCCCAAGGAGACTAATCCCACATGCTCAGCATTAAGCATCACTGATGCAAAAGAGCTCTAGCGTGGAGTTTGCAGAGCGCTCCTAGCGCAGGCTGGAGCCCGGTCTCCCTCTGCTCCATGGGAAGTGAAATGGATTGATGTCAGAGCCACTCAAGTGAACATGCTCGCTCAAGGCATAGGAGGCTAGGAGCTGGTCACGGACTTGGCTGACACTTCAGCCAAGATAGAGCTCTTACCCACCCAAACAACACTTACCCAGGGAAAAGTGACAGAGACCAAGAAGCAAAGTCTGTAGGGATACTTCAGCTAGAACGTGGATGTTCTAAGGATTTTGTTCTTAGATATGGAACTATTTGCTTAAGTTGTTCTGTGTTGTTTGTGGCCTAAGTTTCCACATAAACACTGTAACTTTCCTGTTACCAGGCTCTTGTCCCAGTTCCTTTCTCTCTCTGTCAGAGATATTGCTTGTTTGTGTTCTCGACACAAATGCTTCATTTTGGTCTTAGCTCAAATGCTCCCTGTCCGAGCAGGCTCCCCAATGCCTTTGGACAGAATTGAGGGTCCTTTATCCCATCAGCTGTTGAACCTTCATTTTACTTCCACTGAGACAGTTATGTTACAATGGCTTGTTGCATGCCTGTCTTTACGGGCAGGGTAGGAATCATGACTTTTTATATCTCTATCTCAGCACAAGGCAGAGCACAATGAATGCAGACATCTTTTTTGTAGAATGAATGATGACTGCGTGGATATTTATGTGTAAATATCAATTTTGTGAATCAAGCTATAGTTTTAAGCTGGGAATATTTTTCACGTACATATAAAGTTTTATGATTGATAAAGAACTTTCATTTGCCTTCAGAGAAATTTTCTCTTAAACAGTCTCAATTATTGTTCCCATTTGAGAATATTTCAGTCTGGAACATTAAGTCACTTTCTTATTGTTATTCTGGTAATTAAAGGCAGATTTCCTAGTGTCAATTATTCATTCGATTTCCTATTGTCATTCAGATGATAATTAGACTCCAGTCTTAGTCTTTGGCTCCAGTTTCAGCATTTTCTCTACTTTGTTATCTTTAACTAAATTTCTGCAACTTGCAAGTAAGTTGCTCCCCTGCACTTGAAAAAAAGTAATTCTCTTCTTGGGTGAAAGGGCCAATGATGCTGATTTTATATGGTGTGTGTGTGTGTGTGTGTGTGTGTATGGTAAGAATTGGGTGGAGCCTAAGGAACCAAGAACACAGATACCCACTGAACCACTGTTTTGTGCCAGATATTTTTCACATCCACCATCTCACAACAACCCTGAGTAGTTGAGATGATCTCCATTGTACCAATGAGAAAAGTAAGACTTAGAGGTATTATTTGCCTATTGTGTCATTCTCCTTATGAGAACAATCAGGAATACTTCCATCTTTCTGATGTGGAATCGTAGCCTTAAAAGATACTTGCTCGAGGACACTCACCGAACAAAAAGCAGGGTCAGAATTTGAAACTGACCTCATCTAACTTCTAATGAACGGTGCTTAGAACTCCAATCATCTGGAAAAGAGGAAGAAAGCCTTTTATACATAAATCTTGTCATATTCCATTTATTTTGAATCTGTTTGCATTAGAACTTAAGTAATTCTTGGGAGTAATAGTTTTCGGATTAAAGATGTCCACAAATGTAGAATTCTCTGCAGTTTGTGAACATGTAAGAACTGTTCAGGAAAAAGAAGGTAAAAAGGGAGGCAGTGATCTTGGCTTACAGATGTGAAGGCTGATGGAATGGCTCCTTCTGAAAAAGGGGAAGACAATGCTGCTAGACATAATTTGGGGGTGAGAAACACCAGTTACTGACAGGGTTACACAATTTCCTGAATGGAATGTTACCCAGAATGAAATAGTCCAGTTACAGAGGACAAAATCCCGTGTCCTGTGACATATTTCTGATTGAACTCTGGACATATCTGACCAAATGGTGGGTCTCTCTAAATATCTCTGGTCTCAGTTTAAAGGGATGTGATCCCTGAGTAAACCTAAGCACATAAAAAGTTTGAGTCTTCTATGTGGGCCTGGGGTGTGGCAATTTTGACCCTCTTCAGTAAGGTGATGCTCTCAAGATGTCGCCTACAGAAAAGAGGCTTTTTAAAAAAATTATTTTGTTTTTTATTGGAGAGACAGATATACAGAGAGAATGAGATACAGAGAGTAAGATCTTCCGTCTGCTGGTTCACTCCCCAAATGGCTGCAATGGCCAAAGCTGAGTTGATCCAAAGCCTGGAGCCAGGAACAACTTCTGGGTCTCCCATACAGGTAGAGGTGCTAACGTCCTTGGGCCATCCTGGACTGCTTCCCCAGGCCACAAGAAGGGAGCTGAATGGGAAGAGGAGCAGCAGGGATATGAACTGGCATCCATTTGGAATTCAGGCAGATCCAAGATGAGGATTTAGCAACTAGGCAATCGGACTGGGTCCAGAAAAGAGGCGATGTGTGTCTCTCCTAGGTAGGTTCTGTAGGTAAGTTGTAATACCTTGGAGAAGGCCTGAATATGCACACAATATCGTCATATATCAGATCTTATCTTAATTCTAATGAAAACCCTATGCCAGAGCAGGCATGCAAGGGAGCAGGGTTGGCATTCTGTGTTTTTTTTGGCAGCAGAAACAAACACGCATCCTGCTGTGGAACAGCCAAAAGATAGGGCTTTTCACAGGCACTTTCCCTGGAATATCACAGATGCGCTGTGAGGTGAGCAGCCTCACTTGGATTTAACATGAATAAACTAGAGTGCCCAAAGGTAAGTACTCAATAGAACAAGGATTTCTGCCCAGGTTACAGGTCTCTTGAGTGGTGAGGCCAGCACTAAAACTCAAGTCCTTTCTGAATTGCCTTTGGTGTTTGATCATGGTCTTCATTTTATTCCAAGAGGGCTGTGCAGGTGAAGTTGGATCTGAGCAAAGTTCCATGTGTCTTGATATGTAACCCAGAGTCCGGACGGGCAGGATACATAGCATATCCTAATGCAATGCAAGTTTTATACACAGAGAAGGCACTCTCTCATACAAGAACTAGTTCAGCTCAAATCACTACTTTCTCCCTAACCTCCCTCTAAGTCTTACTAACAAAAGAGAAGCCAGCACTGGTTTCAATGTACTGTATTACAATCAAAGGTTGGAAGAAAGCATGGGACTGGATTCTTGGGAAACTCTCTGAATCTTAGGACCCAAGGCTAGAGCTTGAAGAAGTATTAGCTTCCTTTCCTGACTCAAAAATGAGGGGGGGGGGGGGGAAAGAGCCCAAGAAAGAGCCCAAGATTTGTCAAGAGCTTGGAAATGGCTTCCAAGTCACACTGGACAGAATTTGGCCTTGGTCAACTCACTGAACCTGTAGGGGAGCAGTTTCCAAGTGGGCTGAATGGTGATAACCATAAATAATGCAGGAGACTATTGTTCACGGTGTAAACGAGACAAAGTATGGACAATTGGCAATAACAGGTGTCTCGCGGCTCGCTGGTCTTTATTGCTCCCGGAGCTGGGGCAGAAACCCACTCCTGCTTTTCCTGTCCTGGGCGTCGACTCCCTACACCAAGGTGTCCCTGCTCAAGAGCCGGAGTTTGGGGAAGCGGCGTCTTCTAGCCTCGGGCGGCTGTAGTTAGCAAGCCGAGAGGGAAACGAAGGGGTTAAGGCGATGAGTTTGAGAAAGTCTGGAAAAAGCAGAAAATCGACCCTGCGGAACCAAACCAGGCTAAGGAAGCCCCTCCCCTCCGCCACCGGGGCGGTCGCCCCACGCTCCCTCCCTCCGCCCCGCGCTTACAAGACCTAATGAGCTCCCCCGGGAGGCCGCGCAGCGAGCCGGGGCCGGAGCAAGGAGGCTGCGCCGCGCCGGGGCTGGAGCCGGCCGGGGGCGCACGGGCAGCGCGGCAGAGCGCCCGGGAGCCACGGCGATGGCGGTGCAGGCGGCGCTCCTCAGCTCGCACCCCTTCGTGCCCTTCGGCTTCGGGGGCTCCCCGGACGGGCTGGGGGGCACCTTCGGAGTTCTGGACAAGGGCTGCTGTTACGAGGACGATGAGACTGGGACGCCGGCGGGCGCGCTGCTGTCTGGAGCCGAGGGTGGGGACGTACGAGAAGCCACCCGCGACCTGCTCAGTTTCATCGACTCGGCGTCCAGCAACATCAAGCTTGCGCTAGACAAGCCCGGCAAGTCCAAGCGCAAGGTGAACCATCGCAAGTACCTGCAGAAGCAGATCAAGCGCTGCAGCGGCCTCATGGGCACCGCGCCCCCCGGCCCACCCTCCCCGAGCGCCGCAGACACACCCGCCAAGCGGCCTCCGGGAGCCCCGACCGTCGCGGCCCCGGCCCACGGCAAGGCCGCCCCACGGCGGGAGGCGTCTCAGGCCGCGGCAGCCGCCAGCCTGCAGAGCCGGAGTCTGGCCGCGCTCTTCGACTCTCTGCGCCACGTCCCGGGAGCCGCCGAGCCGGCCGGAGGCGCGGTGGCTTCGCCGGCGGCAGCTGGGCTCAGCGGAGCGGGCGCTGCGGGCACCGGAGAGGACGCGGCCGGCCCCGTCGGGGGCACAGTGGTCCCGGGCTCCAGGAAGGTCCCCTTGCGAGCCCGCAACCTGCCCCCTTCTTTCTTCACCGAGCCGTCGCGGGCAGGTGGCGGCAGCGGCGGGTGCGGCCCGTCGACTCCCGGTGTGAGCTTGGGCGACCTGGAGAAAGGGGCTGAAGCCGCCGAGTTCTTCGAGCTGCTGGGGCCTGACTACGGCGCCGCTGGCACCGAGGCGGGCGTGCTGCTGGCCGCCGAGCCGCTCGACGTGTTCCCCAGTGCAGGAGCAGTGTTGCGGGCCACCCCGGAGCTGGAGCCTGGCCTCTTCGAGCCTCCCCCGGCGATGGTGGGGAGCCTACTCTACCCCGAGACCTGGAGCACCCCGGGCTGCTCCCAGACCAAGAAGCCGACCCTGGCTGCCCCGCGCGGAGGCTTGACCTTGAACGAGCCCTTGCGCCCCCTGTACGCGGCCTCCACGGACTCTCCGGGCGGGGAGGACGGGTCTGGCCACTTGGCCTCTTTCGCCCCCTTCTTCCCGGACTGCGCCCTGCCTCCGCCGGCTCACCCGGTTTCCTACGATTACAGCTCGGGCTACAGCCGCTCGACCTACTCCAGCCTGTGGAGACCCGACGGCGGGTGGGAAGGGGCGCCCGGGGAGGAGGGGGCGCGCCGGGACTGACTGCGCCGCTCCCTTCCCTCCAGTTAGCGCGGTGGTGTGCGGGGCCGCCTCTGGGTCTCCCGCTGCCTGCCGATCTATCGGCAAGTGCACGTGGCAAGGAAACGGGCTTTTCAGAAATAGTTAATAAAAGAAATTTCTGTAAAGAGATGCAGAGGAGTTGTCAGTTGTTTTCATCACAGTCTCAAATTGTTTTGTTTTTCTTTTGAAGTCGTTGCCGAGAGATTCTTAATGGACCAAATAAGATTTAAAAAGCCCACAAAACGTGGTTTGGTGAATTTTGGGGGTGAGAATGGCAGGAGGGGCAAGAAGTGGCTTTGCAGCCTCCTGTGGCTTCTCCGAGTTGTCAGCAAAGGCAGGTGCATTGGGCGTACACACCTCTTCTAACTGGCGCCCTGGTGGCTCCTTGTGCTGTTCTTGGCTTGAGCGTGGTTCTTGAATCTGTCACTCCTACTGAGCCCCGGCCCCACCTTTTTCTTGCCTTCCTTTCTGCTGTTAGCAGAGCTGTTATTTACTCTCCTTTTCTGGACTTCACTCTCCTCTCAGATACTTTGTGTTTCTTACAAGTCTCTGATGAGGGAGGCTTACATGTTGGGTAACCTTGGGTTTTGTTACCTACTTTTGGTTTCCAGCTGTCTTGGGAGGGGAGATGCTGAGAGCTGTCACTTCTTTGCCACCTAGTGTCCTCACTTGAGAGTGGGGATGACACTCTCTCCACTTCTCCGCTGATTGTTGGATGGTTCTCAAGGAAAGTGCAGAAACTGCCTGGAGAAGCTGGTAGTGCTGGTTGGTTCTGTAGTAAATGCATGTCATTAGATGCCACAGTGGTAGGTTTTTCAGAGTAAAACAATTAGTGCTAATCCTGTTGCTCTTTTTGGACTATGTGTTTGCCTCGTGATTGCTTTTCTCCCTTACAAGCTGTCCGCTTCTTTTCCTTCTTTTTCTGTTCCACCTCCCACCCACTTGCATCCGTCTCTGGAGCTTCCTTCCAGTCTCCCTGCTATGGGAATGCTGAAGGGTGTGGCATTGTCAAAGGAGTCTTCTGCAGAGCAGGTGTGAGGTGTGCAAGGAGGGAAGAGACCCCTCTGTTATCTGAGGGAGTCTTGGGGGGAGAAAAATCCAGACTTTTTTTTTTTGCCAGCCATGAATGTGGCAGGGAGGACACAGGGCACCGTTAGGATGACTGAGAGATGGGGAGGAATGATTGGATGGGAAATGGACTGCTGCAGCAAAGCAAAGCTCTTTAGCCTGTCTGGAAAGTGCATAGATCAACCTCCAGAAACTGTAAGGGAGCTGTAATTCATTGACCATGAGGCAGAGGAGGGGCTGTCTGTTTAAGCAGCTGAGACAGATTGTAAATGTCTAGATGGGAGGAAATCCAAAACCCGGTTGACATCTATGCAAATAAAAAGTAATGTGATCTTTTCAGAAAGGAATCCGTGAAAAAGCAAATGGGTATCAAGCAATGGTAGATGCCATTTTAAATGCTATCACTAAATCACTTTCTTCTGAATAAAACTTCTTCAGAAAGCACCACAGGAAACAGAGCCATTGATCTTATTAATGATGAAAACAACTCTAGTCACTCCGGAAACTTGGTGTCTCTTGAATTTCTTTCAACATGGTGAGAAATGATGAATTGCATTGTGTTAAGAGAATATTACTGAATAATCATCTAATTTAGCTAAACTGGTTTATGATGAGTACAATCCAAGAAAGAAATTCATAGTAGGAAAACATTGATAACCCTGTGACTATTATTAAGGCATTATTATCATTGTAATATTTATTAGTTTTCCTCTTCCTTCTTATCTCCTTCAGTAAAACAAGCGGTTTCCTTCCCAGTATCTTGTTTGCCATGACTTTCATTAGTAATAACACCAACTCTGCTGCTTGTGCGTGCCAGACTTGGAGCTGAGCACCAGCTCGTGGAGCCTCCTACCAAGCCCGTGGAGTCAATGTTCTTATTCTCCACAATTTGAAACTCAGGCTCAGTCAAGGTAAATGACTTGTTGAAAACAGGTACTGCTTGTTGTGTGTGGGGGTGGGTATGCGCTGTGGTGTAACCGGTTAAGCGGCCATCTGTGCTACTAGCTTCCGACACAGGTGCTGGTTTGAGTCCAATCCAGCTTCCTGTCTAATATCCTTGGGACAGCAGCAGAAGATGACCGAGGTCCCAGGCTTGTGTACCCACACGGGAGACCTGGATGTTCCTCTGCCTCTGTTATCTTTAGTTTCCTACGTGGTCAGTATCTTTTACATCTTCTTATATCTCATCCATTCTCCTCACTTTTCCCTCTCCTGCTAGGGATAAACCTCTAGTCTGATTTAAACAATTAAGAATGAGGCAGGGGCTGGGATGTGGTAATAAAGATATGAAGAACTCTCAGAACTCTACCTTCTCTTGACAGTCAAATTTCATTAAAAATTCATATATTCCCCTCATCTCACCTGCCATTTAACCCTGAAATATTTTGAATCCTAGATTAATGAATAACTTCAGTTTTAGTACTGAACATTTCACATGCCAACAAGTCCTAAAGTCCCTGTGAAGGAAGTAATTCGAAAATTCTGAAGAAAAATATAAGTGAAGGTTTGTTTTGGTACAAAAACTATAAAATTCATGCCTATGAGGGAGATCTTTAAAATATACAAATATGTATTATAAAAAATTACATGACATGATTTGTTTATACCAAAATAATTTTTTCTTTTAAATTTTCCCACAAACTTTTTGAGATGCCCTTGTACTAATCAGCTTTGCATCACTATAATGAAATTCCTGAGGCAAAATGCTTCATAAGTTAAAGAGGTTTGCCTTAGCTCATGGTTCTGGAGTTTTATAGTCCAAGATTGCATGGTCCCCAGTGGCTCAGTCCTGAGTGATGTTCTAGCAAGCGGAATTCCAAGGTAATAACATCTCATAGAGAGAGAAAAGGAGAACATGTCTGTCTCTAAGTGACATTTCTCCATTTCTTTCTGAAGTCACTGAGATTAAATCACTGGGTTCTACCCTAAATGCTTATTCCAGTGTGATCACACAAAGCCTCCACTCCCAAATACAATAGATGAATTAAACTTCTATCATTAATATAACACTTCGCGAATCAAACTCCTGAGTTCAGAGGGATAGACATGCAAACCATGGCACCTGATAATTCTGGAACATTTGGGCCCTCTACTTCTGCACCACAATTTCATAAATTGTTCTCATTTAGTCCCCAATTAACAAATGAGGAATCTCCAGGGTACAATTTTCTTGACCTTTGTGCTACATCTGAACAGTTCAGTTCATTTCCTGAAATTACATTTGGATTTTCGAGACCTCCTTTTCTTTGGCTTTCCTCCTAACTTTCTGGTTATGCCTTCTTCCTCTCCTTGTTGGAACCCTCATGAGTTGGTGGACTCAGGATACCCCATAAATTTACTCTTCACTTTTCATACCCCAGATATTCTTTCTGGGTGACAACAGCTGTTTTGCGCACTTTTGTTTTTATTTACTTATGTACTGGTGACCCTGGCTCTCACTTCACACCTTGGCTTCTTCCCGCAGTGCTGGGCCCAGGACTTACCTATTTCTCAGCATGACTAAGGATGGGGGTGGTTAAGGAAGGGTTTAAAAACTCTTAAAGCTCTTTGTCCGAAACTGAATGCACACACACACACACACACACACCTACCCATGTTTTATCTTGTAGCCTTTCCATTCCTATTCCAGTGATTACCAAGCCCTAAGTCAGTACTTTAAATATTTTTAATCATGACCTTCAGAAAAACTTTTATGTGGCATGTTCCAATATGTCCATGCTTCTATTATATAATTCTATATTCATACAAAGACCCCCTATTTGATAGCATAAGTATTACTAATTTATCATTTGTATTAATACTTTGTCAGATAATTGAATGTTTTCAAGATATTTATTCATATCTATTTGAAAGTTAAGAAAGCAGAAAAAGAGAGAGAGTTCTATCATATATTGGCTCACTCCCTAGGTGGCTGAAATGGCTAAGCCAAAGCCATTGTCTCTTGCATGGGTAGCGGGTCCCCAAATACTTGGGGCATCTTCCACTTCTTTTCTCGGGTCATTAGCAGGGAGTTGTGTTGAAAGTGGAGTAGCCAGGACTTGAATATGCTGAGCTACAGTCCTGGCCTGATCTTGAACAATTTTTTTTTTTTAAACAAAACCCAGATTCTTCCTAAGAGGCTATGTGATATACTAATATTTTCATTTCCCTTTACTAATACAATATAGATACTATCTATAGCTTATTTCATAACTCTGAATGGGTTGGTTGGGTTGGGATTTGAAAGATACTTCTACAGGAGTCTGTGTGCCTCTTCAACTCCTTTGCCAGTGCCACTTCCTCACTCATGATCCTCTTAACAACCACAGTAATGATCAGTTTATCACCTCCTTGTTTCTGAATTCAGAATTCTTCAATCTGTTTTTCCCCATGCTTGCTGAGGTGGCATTTTTCAAAAGCAGCTTGGTGTAGTCATTGCCTTGAGTAAGATCTTTCAATGGCTTCCTGCCACCTTCAGGGTGGAGTTCAAAGTTTTTCCTCAACGATGTAGCTCTTGCCAGGTTCTGTCATCTCAACCAGTCCTCCCCTAACAGTACTTCCATTCAAGAAATTTGGTGCCATTTACAGGTGCTTGAATGTTCTATATCCATAATGCTGCCGAATTTACTTACATTGTACCTATAGCTGAAATGACTTTCCCTTTTTCTCTGCTTGCTAATTTCTATAAGACTGTCATTTGGGGCCAAGTGCTACCTTCTTGTTCAAAGTCCTATGTCAATTAAGTGTCTCTACTCTGTAATCTATGAAACTTTAAGACTTCAGGCTCACTGTCTTGTAACTGTTAATTACACTGTCATAACAGCTGTGATTCCCTTGCTTTCCTCATTGGGGGCAGGTGCTTTCCTCTGCATTCCAACCACTTCCTCAGATACAATACATAATAAATTACTTCTGCATAATAAATTACTTCTTAT